CCCTTTGTCCAATATGTCATTTGCAAATATCTTTTCCCATTCCGTTGGTTGCCTTTTAGTTTTGTTGGTTGTTTCCTTTGCAGTGCAGAAGCTTTTTATCTTGATGAGATCCCAATAGTTCATTTTTGCTTTTAATTCCCTTGCCTTTGGGGATGTGTCAAGTAAGAAATTGCTACAGCTGAGGTCAGAGGTCTTTTCCTGCTTTCTCCTCTAGGGTTTTGATGGTTTCCTGTCTCACATTCAGGTCCTTTATCCATTTTGAGTTTATTTTTGTGAATGGTGTGAGAAAGTGGTCTAGTTTCAACCTTCTGCATGTTGCTGTCCAGTTCTCCCAGCACCATTTGTTAAAGAGACTGTCTTTTTTCCCAATATACTTTTAAGAAAAATTTGTCAGTGGAGAATATTGAGGGTTTCTTTTAACATAGAAAATTCTATAATAACACAGGGAATGACAGCCAACATGGATTAGGCTTCCTGTGTGCCAAGCATTTTCTAAGTGTTTGCTTCTATTATCTCATTTAATCCTTACAACAGTGCTTTCAGTTTGATAATCCTCATTTTGGCCAATAGAAATTGAAACAGAAATCAAATGATTTGCCAAAGCCACACTCTCTGAATCAGAACTCACACACAAGTCTGTCTGTCTTTAAAAAGCGGAGGATTTAATCACTATACCTGTCTCCCTACCCCACGGCTATATTTGCTAACACAGTCCATTACTATCTTTCAACAGAGTCAACTTTAAGAGAACTTGAAAGGAAGGAGTATGACAAGTTCCCAACTGATGTGGATAAGAGCTTAGAAGAGATGCAGTCTTCATTTGATGAAGATGGTAATAAATATATTGCTGATGTTCTTAGCCATATCTTTCCCACTATAAACAGATTAGCTGATAAAGCGTATTATTCTTTCATGCAGTGTTCACTCGTGAATACCAAAGAGAAAGCTCTTTAGAAGACAGTGAAGACAAAAAGAATTCAGAAAATATCCTCGGTGATCAAGCCTCTAAAACTGGTAAAGATGGTAACAAAATGAATGTGACTCATGCCATGCTTATGGATCTTATTTCCATTTATTTCATATTTTATCATGTTTGTATTGAAGCTTAAAATTATCCCCCAAATTGGACACTTATGTTGACATAGTTGGAATCACTAGTTTAATGAGTATGAAGTTTTATAGACAGAGTCAGATTGCTTTGCACAAAAGTTATTCCAAATAATGTTCCCACAGTAATATACAAAATATGTGCTATTGTTTTCTTGATATATTCTCTTTTAAATATAATTTCAATTTTCATTTGACTATTTCTGAAATATAATTTTTAATATTTGTTAACCATTTATACTTCCTCTTTTCTGAGTTGACCATTTTGGTCTTGTGCTAATTTTTCCAAATTGTTATATCAATTATATGGTTTCTACAATAACTTGCTATATTAGTAACTTATTTTTTATATTTTTTTCCACATTGGGTGGTTTGTCTTTTAAATCATTTTGCTGTTTTTAAAGTAGAGGGATTTTTCATATTTTTGTAGTCAAATCATTACTTTCACTTTGTTTATTTCTTCCATTTACTTTCACACCTTACAAAGCCTTCCTCTCAACCAGAGATTTAATATATACTTATATGCTTTTTTTTCTATTGGTCCAACCTTTTGGTATTTAGTTTTAAAATGCATCTGTAGGGGTGCCTGGGTAGCTCAGTCAGTTAAGCGTCTGACTTCAGCTCAGGTCATGATCTGACAGTTTGTGAGTTCAAGCTCTGCGACGGGCTCTGTGCTGACAGCTCAGAGCCTGGAGCCTGCTTCAGATTATGTGTCTCTGCCCCTGTCCTACTCACACTCTCTTTCTCTCAAAACAAACATAAAAATAAATGAATAAATAAATAAATAAATAAATAAATAAATAAATAAATAAATAAGTAAAATGCATCTCTAAGTTATTGTGTTTTAAGATATAGAGCTGGGGTTTTGTTCGTTTGGTTGGTTGATTCCTCCTGATTCAGACAGATGTATGCTTGGCTGTGGTATATTTTAGTATCATAAAAATTGAACTGGGCACTGTCAGACAATTATGTATGGCACTTCTCCAACACGCACACGCACACACGCACACACACACACACACACACACACTTCACAGGAAGACCCCAGACATTAAAATTTTGGTCAAGTAGCATCTGGGAGCCCCATCTCAGCTGCTGCAGAGTTCCTAGGACAAATACACAAAGACAGCCCCTTCCCCATACTGTCTGTTTTCTCTTTGAGGGAGGCAGTCCAAGGTAGAAGCAGGCATCAGGGCCTCTACCTACTGCTGGAGTGATGCCAGCACTTGCCAGTATGCCCACATATAAAAGCATTCTCCCTGCCCTATCTGTCTGAGATAAGCACAGCCTTTACCTGTTGGAGGTAAGAGACTGTTAGTTACATCAGGAAGGGCAAATTTGATTTTTTTTTTCCAATTTAGATCCATTGGCATTATATGAAACTAAAATTACACTTGTCACTATCTTTATTTTTCACTGCTGATATTATGTGCCCTATTGTTTACCTATTTGATTACTATGATTATAAATTTAATTAAAAAAATTAGGAACACGAGTCCTGGCTCCCTGGTCCCATACCACACTCTTCTTTGGGAATCACCTACAATTAATACTCTTCTTTAGGTGTTAACAGTGTTTTATTCACAGATGAAACCAGTGGAACATCTACATTTAAAAGAAGTTTCTAAGCTCTAGTCAAGATCTTAAGTTGTGGACTTCAAGCTGTATTATGAAGTTATAATCATCAAGACAGTATGGTACTGGTACACAAACAGACACTCAGATCAATGGAACAGAATAGAGAACCCAGAAATGGACCCACAAACGTATGGCCAACTAATCTTTGACAAAGCAGGAAAGAATATCCAATGGAATAAGGACAGTCTCTTCAGCAAGTGGTGCTGGGAAAACTGGACAGCGACATGCAGAAGAATGAACCTGGACCACTTTCTTACACCAGACACAAAGATAAACTCAAAATGGATGAAAGACCTCAATGTAAGACAGGAAGCCATCAAAATCCTCGAGGAGAAAGCAGGCAAAAACCTCTCTGATCTTGGCCGCAGCAACTTCTTACTCAACACATCTCCAGAGGTAAGGGAAACAAAAGCAAAAGTGAACTATTGGGACCTCATCAAAATAAAAAGCTTCTGCACAGCAAAGGAAACAATCGGCAAA